GTCAAAATGTCTCTCTGGCCGTTTGCAGAAGGAAATGGCTTAGGGGAGGGGGAAAGGAGCATTTAGCTGGCGGGGTCAAGGGGAGTTGGTCCATCCCAGGCGGTTAGGCTGTAGGGCACCTCCACCAGAAACGTTAGGGGCATTAGCTGCAGGCGCGAGGGGCTGAGCTGGGAGAATCACGTGGGCTGTGAGTGATACAGGCAGAGAGGAGCTTTAAGCTGCCTAATGAATGCACACAACCATATTGCTGGATTAGGTTGTCTCCCGGTTCCCAAGGACTTTCAGCAGCTTGTATTTACAATAGCATTTGTATTGTCACAAATCTTCTAGATGTGGTTTCATAATTATTCACTACATGACAATTAGGCCTGCCTGGTGCATTTCTCCTCCAGAATGTTATAGGCTTGCAGCAGTAGGGGCTCTACATGGGTAGGCATTTCATTGGCAGGCTGGATATCTTTGCCTCATTATGTATTTTACAGAGAACACAGAAAAGGACAGCATTGGAAAGAAGGGTTGCTTAGGTTGTAGCCGGACGCACCTTCTTTAACGGGCTCATTTCAGCAAACCCTAAATTGCCATAGTGCTGGTCGTGGAAACTCAGCTTGCGCTTGTAGGTTGAGAGAGTGAGCGAGCCGGTTCAGCACAGGTTATATACATCGTTAGCAGGATCTCATGGAGTATTTGCCTTTGCATAGCAGCATAAGGGCTCCTAGCCTGTGGAAGCTGGTGGGAGATGCCCTGAGCACACATCCGTCGCAAGGATACCCCACTCCAGAGGCAGGGGGACTGGAGCAACTGTGGGATGTGAGCTGAGCTCATGCATGTAGGATGCTTTTAGAGATCATCCCCTTCGTGTCAGTCAGGCTTCCCACCCTTGAGGAGCATGCATAATTCACTGCGCGACCTGGGCCCGTTCACCCTCATGAAGTCCCAGCCTGCTTTCTGTCTGAAGCATTGTGATTTCCACAGACTGTTTTTGGGGGCCAGCCAAAGTTTTCATGCCATCGGGGTGTACCTGTAGAAACAAAAGCAGAGGTTAGCGGTTCTGCGAGATGATCCGCCGACAGTGCTGCTCTGTTTTGTTGTCTGCAGGCGTGGGGGTGTTGGGTGCAGCTGATTGTGTGGCGCTCAGAAATGTCGGGGCTTGCTCAGGTGTTGCCAGAGCCGGAGCTCTCATGAGACCTTTCTTGGGACTAGACCATTTCATTGCACAGGCCCCAGTCACGCTGAGAGCCACGGTATTAGAGGAAGACTCGCTGGCATCCTCAGTTTGCAAGGCGTGTTCTTCCCTGCCACCTACAAACAGCCTGGCTCCTTTGTGGTTGTCCTTTTTCAGACCACGGTACCCCCTGGCAGTGTTCAAACCCCAAGTTCCCGCCCGCGGGAACAGCAAGCAGTAGCGGTGTTTCCTGGCTGCTTTTCTCTGCCGCACTGGTTTTGCAGCAGGCATTTGTTCCTCTCTTTAGTAGGTGCCATTAGGCTGCTCTTGCCTTCAGGTTTATCTTGTTAGCAGCTGGTAGTAGATCATTGCTGCAAGCAAAGAGTTGTGTTCGGTAGTGAGTGCCAGCAGATGAAATGCCGAGGGTGGCCAGCCACTCCTTGTAGGAATTCTCCCGGCAAGTGCTAGACCGAAAAGGGAGCTGCAAAATCCCAGGCCAAATTACTATCTGAATTTAAAGTGTTGCTCTCCATCATGTCACATTGCTGCTGGTGTTATTCGGGAAAGGTCTGGGCACCTCTCGAGCCCTGGGAAGTGTCACCTCTACAACACAGTCCTTTCCCTCCATTCTCCCGTGCTTTGCTTAGTCCACCGGTAAACTACCTAACAATACTGACATTTAAAGTAACATTGGGGTTTGCTCCTATTTAGATGGCCGGGCCAATTTGCAATTCAGAACAGCTGTTGCCAGCTCTCAGTTCAGAGCAAGGGCGGTGCTGTGGGATAGGAGGGCACACTAAAATGTCTTGGGATGAGAGAAAAGCAGAGCCCCTTAGCCCGTGCGCTGGCTTCCTTGCTCGTTTTATTGGCCGCGCAAGTCTTTGCAAGTTCAGCCTAAAATAAGCAGTGCCAAAGACAGCTGCCCTCCTGGCCCCAAACACGACACAACAAAGGCTGCATCAGTCACGCTTGGATCGCATGCTCATGGTTTTCCACTCCGCTGTGACACTAGAAACGTCGTGAAAAGCAGGAAGCAAAGATGCTGTAGAAAGGGAAAAAGCAGGTGTGCCTCCCTGGGGTGCCTACAGGGGGGCTTCTGCCGTGATCCTGGCCCCTCGCCCTCCTGGAGGAGTCAGGGGGGCAGATGCGGAGCTGGGTCACGTATCTTCTACCAGAACATAACCAGTGGTTCCTGTGTGAGCCCATCTGGGGGGTTTGCCCTAGCAAAGATTGCTGCCAAGCCTGATTTCTGTCTCTTGAGTCGCTGCCTGGGTCTGTCTGATTTCCGACGACACCCGTCTCTCTTTTGTCTCCATCCAGGGCAGTGACAGCGACTTGGTGGATAAGAACAAGTGCTGCACACTCTGTAACATGTCCTTCACCTCTGCAGTGGTGGCTGAATCTCATTACCAAGGGAAAATCCATGCCAAAAGGTTAAAACTGTTGCTAGGCGAACAACCGGCATTAAAGGCCACAGGTAGGTCTAGAGATGCTGCTGCTGAGGAGCTGTTGTAAAGCAGGACACGGCCCATTTGGATCAATGGCTCTTCTGCACAGAAGCAGGACTGGTCAGTGCTGCGGCTTGACTGCCTCTGTTCAGACAGTCAACGGGTAGCTAAGATCCACACGAGCGGGCTTTCATTTCTCTTGCTG